GATGCGGCAAACGCTCTACCAGTTGAGCTACGAAACCACGTCAGAAGCTCGGAAATCTCACATTTGCACTCGGTTACCCACCCGTCCCACTGTCTCATATGGAATCCACTAAATGATCTAGGGGACCGACTGCCCTGGCAGGATTTCTCGAACAGTTGACGCTGGAATCCATCAACGCCATTGTTGAGCATAGACATTGTATTACTAGTGAGTACGTTGGCAGATTTATGATTTTAGATGAGACGCAATTGTGGAAAGTCAGGGCTTCGACTGGATTCGAACCAGCGACAGAAACATCATGTCTCAACGCGGCAAGCGCTCTAGCAGCTGAGCTACGAAGCCACGTCAGAAACTCGGAAATTTCCCATTTGGACTCGGTTACCCACCCGTCCCACTGTCTCACATGGTATCCACCAAATGATCTAGGGGACCGACTGCCCTGACAGGATTTCTCGAACAGTTGACGCTGGAATCCATCAACGCCATTGTTGAGCATAGACATTGTATTACTAGTGAGTACGTTGGCAGATTTATGATTTTAGATGAGACCCAATTGTGAAAAGTCAGGGCTTCAGCTGGATTCGAACCAGCGACAGAAACACCATGTCTGAACGCGGCAAGCGCTCTACCAGCTGAGCTACGAAGCCACGTCAGAAGCTCGGAAATCTCACATTTGGACTCGGTTACCCACCCGTCCCACTGTCTCATATGGAATCCACTAAATGATCTAGGGGACCGACTGCCCTGGCAGGATTTCTCGAACAGTTGACGCTGGAATCCATCAACGCCATTGTTGAACATAGACATTGTATTACTAGTGAGTACTTTGGCAGATTTATGATTTTAGATGAGACCCAATTGTGAAAAGTCAGGGCTTCAGCTGGATTCGAACCAGCGACAGAAACACCATGTCTGAACGCGGCAAGCGCTCTACCAGCTGAGCTACGAAGCCACGCCAGAAGCTCGGAAATTTCACATTTGGACTCGGTTACCCACCCGTCCCACTATCTCATATGGAATCCACCAAATGATCCAGTGGACCGACTGCCCTGGCAGGATTTCTCGAACAGTTCACGCTGGAATCCACCAACGCCACTGTTGAGCATAGAAATTGTATTACTAATGAGTAGTTTGGCAGATTTATGATTTTAGATGAGACCCAATTGTGAAAAGTCAGGGCTTCGGCTTCGAGAAATCCTGTCAGGGCAGTCGGTCCCCTAGATCATTTGGTGGATTCCATATGAGACAGTGGGACGGGTGGGTAACCGAGTCCAAATGTGAAATTTCCGAGCTTCTGGCGTGGCTTCGTAGCTCAGCTGGTAGAGCGCTGCGCTCGTTGAGGGATACATGCGTGTTTCTGTCGCTGGTTCGAATCCAGCCGATGCCCTGATTTTTCACAATTGGGCCTCATCTAAAATCATACCAATTTTTATAAATTCACACCCCCGGAAGACAAGTGTCTATAGACAGTCACGTGTCAGTAATTCGCACGGTAGTTGAAAAGGTTACGATAGTCTCGGTTCCCAAATGTATCACATTTCAAAAGTTATTAGGATAAATCGTGGTTTGCTCTCAATTTTGACCCTTCCGTTTCGGTCATCATTTTTTGTAGGCATCAGCAATATGCTTCTCAGAAACGAGGTTCACCGAAATCTCGGAAATGAACTGGCAGTTGCAGATAGTGAGGCTGAGAGAGAAAGAGATAGGTTTGGTTGAAATCATAACATGAATTTACTTCGACTAACTCACAGAGAAAAAAAAACATTAGACTTGAGTCCTGTTCAACTGATTCGATATCAACAATAGTGTATTTCTCAGATGAATCAGAATTTCATTTACGGTTGCTATGGAACATGCAGAGTAGGCGTGTAAATCACTAATGCACACTACTCAACAGTAGCCACGACCAACAACCCGGAAGATTTAGGGCTGAGTGCAGGGATGCCGTTGGTTTCCGGTTGTCCTCTGAGATGACCGTTTACTATGTAAACGATTTGTTACCATGCCGTGTATTGCCGACGATGTAACCTCATGTGAAACCTCACAATAACAGCAGATATCAACGAACAGTCATGTTCGCGTGTTCAGCCACAAACATCTACAATATTCACACAGCTAAATCAATTCCCAAACAGAAGAAGAAAGCTTTTACTGAGATCTAATCAATATCCCACTATCATGATTTCCCAACGAATTCACAAAACCGACTGCATTATTTTTTTGTGGTAATTAGGTGTAATTACTTAGTAGCGTCACATTTCGAAAAACGCAGCTGATTCATCGTGGCTCTCGTTTAAAAAGTATTTTTCAGCCAATCCATTACAAAAACGTGCACCAAAATCGGGTTAGGTTTTTCAGCTAGAGTGCATTAACAGTGGCAAACTGACATGAACTCATGACTTCTGAAGTGTAAAAATGATCAGACAGCTTAAACATCACTCACAAGTGATCCGGATTGAGCTTCTACAAAGAACTAATGAGGCATGTCTATTGTGAACTCAATGAATAAGTGCTTTCAACACGGCCATTTCAAACATTCGAGGGACGGCTAGAATGAGGGTAAGTATAGGAGACAGGCCCAAATCAATAAGCAAAGTTCAAAGTTCGTGAATTAGGAAGGAGCAAACTAGCCAAAATATTTGTCAGAATTAGGATTCTTTGTAATTATGATGGCAATCGATTTGAACAAATCAAAATCCACGAGTACCCACAAGTCCACATGGTCAGAAACACTAGTTTAGCCCGGCTATGGTAACAAAAATAATGGCTGACCAGAGAATGGTCCTCCTACATCGTCACGATTACCTCTAATCAACGCTTTTCTCATCATACACTGTTATCCCGTAGCATGTAGTTGAT